CCGAAGGTCATCATCACAGTCAAACACTGCAACAAATCATTCATTCCCTTCACTTTCCAATATACCTAATAAATCACCCATGTTAATGGTTCTTGAAATAGAATCTGTCAAGCACTGCATTGCTCACCTACTAATGATTATAATAATAGAAGTAATGTTTACTCGCATAAAAAGTAATAAGTTCAGTACAATGATAAGATTACGGCGAATATACTGACTCTGTCTGAACTTTTGAGCTCATTTTGCAAAATCGTTACTATTTTGCAAACTAGATCCTTTATGAAATTCTCAAAAGATTTGCGATGAATTTCAGCGTGTAGCTTGTCTGGAAATTCGCTGTTGCTTTTCGTTATTATACGAGTTCATTGCTGTATGGCAATTTTTATCATCCCTCGGTATCAAGATCAGTTCATCGCAGTCAATGATTACAAACGCAATGAGTATGTTTCATGACAGGTGTGTTTGACTTCTATTTCATTTTATTTCATTTCAATTTCAAGCAAACTTCTATTTCATTACCGTACTTCTAACCAATCCAGCTATAAACAAGCGATGATCCGACTGAACGTTTTGTGAAAGAGCGATTCGAAAGAAACTACCGCCGCCCTCCATCTCGTTAAGCTTCTTCTCAATAAACAACTCAAATATAAACATCTTATCGCGGCCTTTGAATACTAAACAACCGATGATCCACTAAAGCTATTCGCTGCTTAGTTATGAGCAAATGGATATGGATATATAAGTGCATATTACCAATAGCATCAATGAATATGCTGTAAAATCAAAATGAAATTTTTTAAGTAATGAAATTCCAATTTGTGAATTCAGTAAAACATTCAGTAAAAGTATTCATCATATCGTCTGACTATACAATGCAGATGAGTCAATCAACAGCTGAATTGATTCATCTTCTAGTCAGTTCCTATAGAGCAGAGACATGCATTTCTTTCGAATTCATGAATTATGATGAAACGTGAGAATTCATCAGAAAGAAATTCAGCCTCTTCAAACGCATGTAGTTATGGTGAGAATTTGTGAAATTTACATTGGATGGGGCCAGATTTTATTGCGACTTTTATAGCAACATTATGATGGTGTTGTTGCCTTGTTGGAGCTCTTCTGAAAATATCGCACGAAATCATGACGACCGATTTGGTTGTGATGCTTATGCTTATAAGTTTGCATGATGTGGGTGATAGCTGATTAATTCGATCATAAAGCAGACTCAATGTTTGCATTTTGGTATCAATTTCCCTTTGAGATAAACTCC